TTTTGAATATTTTAATTTATTAGCCATTGTTATATTTGAAATAGGGGTTTCAAAGAAATTAAAGTAGCAAGTCTAGTAATATTAAACAATATAGTAAAATTATAGTAAAAAAAAAAATAGAAGCTAATAAATAAAGAAGGAATTTAAAATTAGATATAATTTGTAAGTGTAGAAGTTAATACATTTAGTAGTGATATTTAAGGTCTTAATAACTTACGGGCATTGGTTGTAATGTTGGAGAAAGACATAATGTGTGAATAAAGTATAAATTCAAAATTTATTGCTTGCTTAGTAGATATAGAATTATTATGAATTTCTATTCTAATTTTTGGTTTACATGGGAATTGAAAATAATTGAGTAATACAAATATCATAATGCCCAGAAAATTATAGTTCATAAGAGAGAATGTAGAATTATTAAAGAGGGTAATTTGGTCCTTCTAATTCAACTTTTCTTCCCCTAAATCATGAAGTTGCAATTCCTACGAAGGGGTAGGATTTGCAATTCCTCACAATTGTGGAATTGTAATTCCTTTTCCCATCAAATTGTGAATTTTTTTTTGGGAAAATGGCACTTTTTCCCCCTAAGTTATATACTTATAGTCATTTTCCCTTCTCAATTATTTAGGTAAGCACATTAACCCCTCAATTATTCTAAAAGTGGTGATTTTTCCCCCTGATATATTAAATTGACATTTCTACCCTTAAAGTAAACATTTTATTTATTTTACTTCTCCAACAAATTATCGCGTATACGTAGGGATGACCACGGTTCAGATCAAACTGAACCGGACACTATAGCAATTGAATTAAAAGTTTTCGGTTATGATTCAGATCTAGAACCTAATATTTAGATTTCAATTTATTAAAATTATGAATAAAAAAAATTGGATCTTGAACTGTGAATCGGCGGTTCTAGATCCGGTTCACAATTTTGAACCGTCTTTGTTTTAAAATGTTATTTTTTATTTTAAATAGTCTAAATTCAACAATAAATATATTTTATTTTTTTAGTTCGGTACATGAATCGTCCGTTCCGGTTCGCGATTTTAATAAACTCTAAATATCGAGTTTCGATTCTAAATTGTAATTGGAATATTTCGGTTTGGTTGCTATAGTGTTTGTTTGGTTTGAACCAAATTATTGTCATAATTTGTTGGAGAAGGAAAATAAATGAAATATTTATTTTAAGGGTAAATATGTTCATTTAATATTTCATGGGGAAAAACAGCCACTTGAATAATTCAGGGGGAGAAAGTGCTATAAGTATATAACTTAGGGGGAAGAAGTGCCATTTTCCCTTTTTTTTTTTAATCTTTTAATTAAATGAAAAAGGAATTGCAATTTCGGTCTATCAAAATGATGTTATTAGACCGAGAAATAAAAAAAAAAAAAAAAAGAAGGATAAAATTGAAAATAAATTATATATATTAGGTATAATATAAGGATCACACTTGTGTGAGATCGTATCACAAATCCTTATCCATGAGACGGGTCGGGTGTCAATATAAAAATATAATACTTATACTAAAATTAAAAATGTAATACTTCGTACTAATCAAGAATAAAATGTTTGTTTTTTATAAGTGAAAGTGTAATACTTTTACATTTTGACGTAAAAGTATTACATTTTTCATCAAAAGTATTACACTTTTTCTTATAAGTAATGTTGACAAGTGTATGTTACTTATAAGAGAAAATGTAATACTTTTAAATCAAAATGTAAACATATTACATTTTTCATCAAAAGTATTACACTTTTTCATATAAGTATTAAACATTTTATTTATAATTAGAATTACATTTTTAATATAAGTATTATTACTTTTATCTTGATATGACTTATCTCACGATCAAAGATAAGTGAAACGGTCTCATACAAATTTTTGCTACTGAGATAAAGGTTATCACTGCAATAATGACATTGATATATTTTATAGATTTGTCTTTCCATCTGGCTTAGTCATGGGAGAAGATCAAAGAATGAAGACAAAATTGAAGGGAAAAAAAATAGAGTGATTAATTGTTGTTGTCGTGATTAAACTTAATATTTACTTGTAATGGATAGGTTTTGTTGGGAATCTTGACAATTACTAAAATAATGATGACATGTAGAAAATGGGGAAAATGATTAGGAATAGGTAGGGTCAAAAAAGAGTGTTTACTCATCATTTGATTGACGAAAACAATGCACTGACATATAGAGTCCCGTGTCTTTATTTTAAAATTGGTAAATATAATTCATATTTATTTTAATTTTCCGGTAGGAAATTGTATACTCCGTATTACTTTTATGACTTAAAATACATACCATATTATTTTATATTTACTAATTATCATAAATTAAAATTTTTATACAATATCTGATATCCCTACCACGATAAAATTAATTTACGTTGTTACCTGTCAAAGTAAGGGGATTCGTTGTGCGCAGTGAGCAAAGGTCTAGCCTATGTGGTTCATATTCAGTTGAGTTACTTATGATTTACATCCTCCCAAATGCTCTGTCGGGTCGAAGTGTGGGGGCCCTTAGGGTTGAGGTTCAACCTTTTGGAAGAATAAAATTAATTTACGTTTAACCTGAATCTCATCTATATAGTTTTATTTTGTTTCAAAATGTTGAATCCTCAACTCCAAGGGCCCCTCATGTCTCTGCCCGTCAGAGTATCTGCGATTCTGGGAAAATGTAAATCATTGTAACTCAGCTTAACAGAGTATTTGAGAGGATGTGAATTATGCTAACTCAACTGAACACAAAAGCTAGACCTTTACTTAGCACAAGAAACTTTTTCATTTTAAGAGGTTTCTCTCATATTATCATTAATAAAAATTTAATTTCAAATTATTATTTTTAAACTTTACCTTTATAACTAACTGAATTACTTATGCGGATGATATGTATAGTTTCATCCTTTACTTGAAAGCAGGATTTGGTTGTAAAAAGACATTGGGTTCGGTGTGGATAAAATGTAAACATCTGCAATCCCAATCACACACCTTCTGGCTCTAAAGTCAATGCTGAAATGTCATGAGCATTGGAATTGGGATTGAAATTCCCACTCTTTTCAGCCCTTTGATGCTGACGCCAATATATTCCAATCCTTCTCTGCTGTTAATTGGCCTCTTTCCACCCTTCATCTCTCAACTCAACTATTTCCCACTTATCTATAACACCTACACCTACATCGCCATGTCTTCCGTTTCGTTTCATTTCTCACCACCCAACAATTCTTCCTTTTACCTCTAGAGACGCATCAATTAAATTTTGGAAAAAAGAATGTATTTATTGACATTATTAAAGTTGACACCATGATCATAACTTTTCTAGTAAAGTTGTGAGGCTCTTTTCTATGTGTAAATTATAATTATCAGTGAAATAAAATTATTATTATTTTTTAAATTCTTTTCAAAAAGTTGAATCCCCAACCTTAACAGGGCGTTTGATTTGAAGGGGAGAATTACGTGAGAAATAAATTGCAATGTCATGGGAGATGAATTATGGGAATAAAATAGGAATTTAAATTCTATTGTTTGGTTCGCAGGAATAGAATTACTGGGAATTTCAATTTCAATGTTTGGTATACAGGAGAATTGAAAGGGAATAACTGAATAAGTAGTATAAAGTCCAAAATGCCCATTGTCGATGTGGTATTAATTTTAGGTTTAAAAAAAAAAGGGTAATTTTGTCTCATCACTAGCTTTTTTTATTTCTAAAATCTCAAGAATTAAAATCACAGGGGTACATTATTGTAATTCCATGAAAATGGAAGAATTGCAGTTTCTTCCAACCAAACTAAGGAATTTTATGGCCTTTAAAATTAGGTGGGAATTAAGTGGGAAGAGAATTTAAATTCCCTCCAACCAAACGCCCTGTAAGGGTTCCTAACACTCCAGTTTGATTTTTTTTAAAAAAATTGATTAGCTAATTGAGTCATATATTGACTCGAAAGTGGTAATTAACGCGGTTATGTGGGTACGAATGTGAGACCGCGTGGACGTTGCTAGTTTATTGTAGTCTATAGAGAGCTTAAGCTTTGAACTTATGCAAAATTATCATGTCACCGTGCGTTTTTTAATTGTTCTTCATTCAGAGTTGTTGATTTTTGCTAGATCAATGGCTAAGATTTCAATATTTCACCCCGTTTTTTACTTGAGAACTCCTTCGCATTTCAGAAATGGTCCATTGCCTATTGACATTTACCAATCTTTATCCCCGACTTTCAATTGTACCATAAATGATCCATTGACTATTGTGACATTTACCATTTTTTATCATCAAGTTTCACTTTAACCATAAATGGTCCATTGACTATTGATTTTGTTCCAAATTTGGTTCCTTAGTTACATATCAATTTAATAAACATTAAATTTAAGGATAATAATGTAAACATTTTAGTTCTTCACATTCCACTAATGATAACATCGATGTATTAAATTTATAAACTCAATTTGTCCATCTCAACAACAAATCAATTTTTACATTATTATTCTTAAATTGAATGTTTACTAAATGGATATTTAATTGAATGATTAAATTTGAAACAAATCAATAGTCAATGAACTAGTTATGGTCAAATTGAAAGTCGATGATGAAAATTGATAAAAATAATAGTCAATGAACCATTTATTGTCTAATTAAAAGTCGAATGATAAAAATTTGTAAATATCTATAATCAATGGACCATTCTTGAAATTAACTATACATATAAAGACATGTTGTATAAGTAAAAGCAAATTCAATTACTTTAAAATAATCTTTAGTTGGTCATAGAGTTGAAGTTTGAGAAGAATAATAAAACTATAACGAAATCTCCAAACTTTATATAATTATTCTTATTATTATTATTATGAACTTTATATAATTATTCTTATTATTATTGTGATGATGTTAGCTCAGAAAATTAAATTTTGTGAGTTAATTTTATACTTGCAAGGAGTGTATATCGCTGTACCTACCTTAGCGCAGACATTATTAGAAGACAACATTAGTGCATCTCTAGCTAGATAGCCAGGTTGGTTGAAGAGGGTAGAGTGAGAGTGGAAAAAATAAAATATAGAGAGAGAAAGAGAGACTTCACAAGTCCACACCAAAAGAAAACAAAAACCCTCATTGCTTTCTGCCTTGAAGCCTTTAATTTGTTTTGTTTTCCACTGATTGCATTTGCATCTCTCCCTCATTTCTTCGTCAAAACCACTCACTCCACTAAATACGCAATCTCTTCTGCTTCAATGGAAATCACCTCAAGGCCGCCCCGTCAAGAATCCGGCCTGGCCTCCTCCCAAAACGACGGCGGCATTAGCAGCACCACCGCCAATTGTTCATCTTCGCTGCCGCTTCATCATCAAATCCCAACCCCACCATTGACCCCAAAGCCCATTTCGAGATCTGATGCTAGCCCCTACCCGACAACCTTTGTTCAAGCGGACACTTCTACCTTCAAGCAGGTTGTCCAGATGCTCACCGGCTCATCGGAGACTGCTAAAAACGCCTCCAAACCCGGTCTTTCAGATCCGCCGCCGCCACCGCCCAACAACAAGGGCTTCTGCAGCATACCTCCCAAGAAACAAGGCTTCAAGGCTCTTTACGAGAGGAGGAACAGCCTCAAGAACGGGCTCATGATCAGCCCTTTGATCCCCGCCGGCCTCATCACCAATTCCGGGTACTCGCCGCGGAAACCGGAGATCTTGTCGCCCAGCATTCTTGATTTCCCGTCGCTCGCCCTCAGCCCCGTCACGCCGTTGAACGAAGACCCGTTCCACAAATCCTCACCGTCCATCATGAGGAATTCCTCCGAAGAAGAAGAGAAAGCCATCGCCGAGAAGAAATTCTACTTGCATCCATCTCCCAGGGCATCTACTCCCAGAGACTCTGAGCCTCAGCTCTTGCCTCTCTTCCCGCTCACCTCGCCGCGAGTTTCCAGTTCTTCTTCTTCAGGCCGGATTCTTACCTAATTACCATGTTGCCATCGTCGTCTTAATTGGAACTCGATGTAACAGAGATCCTGTTTCAATTAATTGTATGTATAATTTGACTTCTTTCATCCATGATTTAAAAAAAGCACTTCTTTCCTTAACTTTCATCCTTTTCCATCTTCTTATTACTTTCCTCTCATCTTTACTGCCTTTCTGCACTAATTTTGGGACTCATGTTTTTCTTTTCTTCATTATTGTATTAATTAACCACCTTCACACATTAAACCCAAAAAATCACTTAATTCTAATAATTACTTGATTCATAGTAACATGTCACGTAATTCTGAATTGATTCATTGTAACATGTTACGTTAACATTAAAATAGTTTATGGTAAAAGAGGGATAAGGAGATTGGTTATTTTTTGGTTTGGTTTAAGAATGTCAAAAAGCTCCATCTCCCACAAAGAGAGAAGGGAGATTCTTTTCGATGATGCATATATACAAGGAATAAATGTGTGTATAGAGTGAGTGCTAGATTTGGTGGTGGGATGAGATAATTCATATATTCTGTGCATCCATATATATATATATATATATATATATATATATATATATATATATATGCTGACATATAAACACTTACACAAAGATGATAAGTAATTGAATGGATAAATAATGGTAATGGCAGGGCAAGGGGATCAAATTCAGATTCTTTTGGTTACATATATGCTGCACTAACTTTACCGCATATTTGCACACTCATCACTCTGAAAAGTAGTACTATTTCTACACTTGTTAAATTTGTTGGATTCTGGAATCATATTCACCTCTCTCTCCTCTCATTATAAATGTGACAGCTTTTTTTTTTCCTTTTGTTATTAATTATTTAAAAATATCTCCTGATATGATATATGATATATTGTGACTGATTAACATTATAAATGAAAATTAGGAGAATTCTGACTACTAAAAATGATCAAATTACATGTCTCTTAGTTACATTGAACGTGTAAATAATTATAACGTGATGCAAAAATGTTTAAAATTAGAATATTTTTATAGTGATCTGATGAGGATATGATACTACTACACGCAGGGTTTTGTTTTGTATGAGGCCAGCTTGATTGAAGGACGGAAGGGGTCGGAATTCAGATTGCCAGTTACCCTCTGGCATGCGATGTAAACAAGTGATGGTGTGATACAGTACTCATAGCATGCAATTTTATTTCAGGAAAAAAACATAATGAGAAAATAAAAAGAACAACTTGGGCATATCGGATATGATTGTGTCTTTAGTACAACTTGAGGAACTTGCAACCCAACCCTGTCGTTTTATTGCCTTCAATATATAATAACTATATAATATATATTTAGGGATGACAATTTTAATCCGTCCCGTGGATATTCACCCCATATGCATCGAATTTTTTTGGGTGATGGTGGGTGGTGGGTCGGGAGTGGGTCTTAAAGGTAAATTATGTCGTGACCACCATGCATGGTGCACACTGTTGCAAAAACAACGCCTTCAACTTTTAAAAAAAATTCATTTTCGATTGCCGTGCTATATATCGAGAATTAATGAACTATATATTCAGAATTAGTGAACTATATATTCAGAATTAATGAACTATATATCCAGAATTAGTGAACTATATATCCACACCGATCACTGATACTCTGTTTTGGCTTATCACAGTTCGTTGCGTCTGTATATTCAGAATTAATGAACTATAAATTCAGAATTAGTGAATTATATTTCCAAAATTAATGAACTATATATCCAGAATTAGTGAACTATGTATTCAGAATTAATGAACTATATACATCAAGAATTAGTGAACTATATGTTCAGAATTAGTGAGCTATATATCCACACCGAAAATGGTGAAAATCCCGTCAATTGGAGTTAAAAAAAAAAAAAAAAAAAATTATTGGTGGAGTTAAACGGTGCCACTAACGGCACTGTTACTCCACCATAGTGAAACGACGTCATTCGCAACTGTGCACAGCATGCATGATGCACACGATTGCACAGCATATCGATTGAGTCTTAAAAGAGTAAACCCGCGGTGGGTCGGGTTGGATTCGGGTTCTATGTACAAAACCCGCCTAGAACCCCCCACCCGACCCACCATGTGTGTGTGTTTATATATATATATATATATATATATATATATATATATATATATATATATATATATATATATATATATATAGGATTAGGTTCCTATGAGGTCAGGTCTTCCCGTGCGGTCAGTGCAACATACACCATTAGGTATGCATAAATGCACCATACAGTGTTCGAGAATACACTATTATATGTGGTGCATTTTTTATTTTTGTGTGGTGTATTTTTTGACATTTCATTCTGGTGTATTTTCGAACACTGTATGGTGCATTTATGCATACCTAATGGTGTATGCCGCACTGACCGCACGGGAAGACCTGACCTCACAGGAACCAATATATATATATATATATATATATATATATATATATATATATATATATATATATATATATATATATATATATTTATTTATTTATTTAATAGTAAAATAAGTACTAGTATGTACTTATTTATAAAAGTTTATATAACTTTATGTATCTTTTTACTATTTTTTATATCTAAACTACTATGTTTATTTTTAAAAATTAACAATTTAGTTATTATATTTAAATATTTCTATTGTTTTATGCTTTAGTATTACTAATGAATTTTATTATTTTATTATGTGTAAGTAATTTAAATACTTCGTATTATTTTTTGAAAAAAAAAATAATAAGATGATAAATGGTAGGTTAGTGGGTACTCGTAGTGGGCACTCGCACCCGGTGGGTTGAGGGTGAATTTTGAAAATGTCCACTCGATGCGAGTGGGAGGTGGAGGTAGGTGGAGAAAATATAAGGTGGGTCGGGTGATGGATGTATCCCTCCCCGACCCACACCCGACCTATTGCATCACTAAAATATTAATATGAAGATTCTCGTTTTATTGATTTCGATTTTGTTTAATGACATTCTGAATAAACATTTTTTAAGAAAATAATATTTTATTATTTTAATTATGGTATAATTAGAGATGTCAATCTTACTCAACCAGTGTGACAAATTATTATGTGGACCATGATCCACACAGTGCTGTGTGGATAGAAAAAAAGTACATTTTCAATATACTAAAAGTACATTATTTGTGTGCTGCATGTACATTATACAAAATAATGTACTTTTACTACTCAAATAATGTACTTTCACTAAATACAAGGTACATTTTTAATATATTAAAAGTACGTCATATATGTGCTGAATGTATATTATTTGATAGTATACAAAATAATATATACTTTTAATACTCAAATAATGTACTTTATGTACATAAACAATTCACTTTTGGGTAACACTTGTGTGAAACCGTCTCACGGGTCTCAATCCGTGAGACGGGTTGGATCTTTGCTTAATGAGTCGAATATTTGATTAACGGGTCGGATCTTTGACCTCATTAACCAAAGATCCGATCCGTCTCGTGGATTAAGACCCGTGAGACGGTCTCAGACAAGTGTTTGCCTTAACGGGTAATACTTGTCACAATCCGTGAGACAGGTCGGATATTTAATTAATGGGTCAAATCTTTGATTAATGGGTCGAATCTTTGACCTCATTAATCAATATCTTATCCATCTCACACAAATTTTTGCCGAATACCTTGAGCCCAATCGTTATAATGTGGAACCGTGTCCACCTTGCAAGGTGGACACAGTTCTATGTTTATAATTACTGAACTATATGTTCATAATTATAAAGCTATATATTCATAATTTTTGAACTTCATATTCGTAACTATTGTACTCTATATTCACAATTACAGAACTTTATGTTCATAATTACTGAACTATATGTTCATAATTATAAAGTTATATATTCATAATTTATGAACTTCATATTCATAATTATTGAATCTCTATATTCATAATTACAGAACTATATATTCATAATTATGTTTACAACTCTATATTCATAATTATAAAACTATATATTCATAATTTTTAACTATATATTCATAATTATGAACAGTTTTGGAACCGTGTCCACCTTGTAAGGTGGACACAGTTCACCCCATAATTTTCCCCTTTGAGTCATAAAAGGCTTTATAGTCGGATTATTCAATTAAAATTTTTTATATTTTTTTAAAAAATAAGATAACTCATATATTAAATAATCATCATCAAATCCGAAATACAAAATAATCTTTTTATTTTAAGAAATTCACAAATTGACATTAATAAATATACACTTGAAACATCATTTAATCAATCAAAATCTACAAATTCAAATTCCAACTCAAATATATAATATAAAATTTATGAAAATTTATGTAAAACATATAAAATAGATTTTTATTTATAATTTTAAAAGATAAAATTTTAATTTATTTACATTTATAATATAATATTGACAATAAATTTTATATTTCATTATTTATTTTCATAAATAATAATTTATTTTATAATAAAAGTATTATTAAAAAAAATTAAACAAACAAACCAACAAGACTAAAGAGGAGACTACGTACACTGTACATGATCAATGTATATTTCATTTCACATTAATTACGAAATAAAAGTAACCTTTAGCGGTTCAGATTTTATGTCCAGTCCACTAAATTCTGAGCCAGCCATGGCATTTTTGAATTTTTGAATTTTTTTTTATATCACACTAGTTATTAGAGTTAATAACGATTTGGTCCCTCGACTATTAAGATTTCACGACTTTTGGTCCTCAACTTTTAAAATTGTCCAATTACATCCTCGACTATAGAAATGTTAACCAAAGTGGTCCTCGGTCTGTTTTACCGTAAAAATACAAGAACAAAATAGGAAGTTCCAATATTCTTTATCTTCTCTATAATACCTCTGGTTTCTCTGCCTTCTCTCTAATTTTGCTTCAAACAGCCGCCTTTCAAGTGAAGAAGAAGAGGTCGGTCAATCCGGCAAACATATATCGGCTGGTAAGCCAACATTACTAGTCATGGAGATGGCAAAATCGCTGGACCCGCTCAAAACAGCCACTGAAAATAGCCTCCATTTCTAACCTGCAGCGTGCTGGATTCACATCGCCACCTTCGGAGCTGCTAAAACTTGTGAACGGCGAGGTAACTCCATC